CTTAAGCCCAAGAGTTTGAGGTTGCTGTGAGCTGTGATGCCACAGCACTCTACCCAGGGCAACAAAGTGAGACTTGGTCTCAAAAAAAAAAAAAAAAGTCTTACTCAAATTTTCCTCTGAAAATTAACCACTATTTAATCACCATGAGGAGTTATTCAACTGGAAATTAATTATGAAAATCCCAATAAAATGCATTAAAGCAGTATCATACATGTATATTATTGGCCCAGGGAATAAAATGGAAGTCAGGGCACTTAAAGAACTTCTGGTTATAAAAGCAATTCAACACAATTCACTACGCTTCTTCAACAGGCCCTCTATAGATCCTCTGATACAAAGTCCCGTTCCTGGGCTGCGCCTGTGGCTCAAGGAGTAGGGCGCCAGCCTCATACACCAGCCCAGCCCCTGCCAAAAAAAAATAATAATAAAATAAAGTCCCTTTCCTTCCTTTAATGACATAAAAGGCAGTTCTGTTAATGAAGCTGTGGAGACCATATTTCAAGGTAAAAAAAAAAATCAACTGTATTCTGAGGTGATAATAATGTTCTACTTCTTAAGAAGAAAGTTATACAGTAGTGTTCACTTAAAGATAATTTCCGGAGCTTAACATTTATGAATTGTCAACTTTTCAGGATGTGTATTCTATGTCAATATAAATTTTAAAATAAGGCGATACATACATAACACCTCCTTACCTGCTCATGCCAGCTAAGCCCAGAAGGAAGCATTCTATGCTGTAAAGTGGCGCCCTTCAGTCCTACAGCAATGAGAAATTCCTAAAGAGAATGACAAGACAAAGAACTGTGTTTACCACCCATGTAACCCTCTAATCCAGCGGTTCTCAACCTATCAGTCTCTACCCGCAGGAACTGTATTAAAGGGCCACGTCATTAGGAAGGTTAAGAACCACTGCTCTAATCCAAAAGTTTTTCCAAGACAATAAATGTAGTAAGAGAAAATAAATTGGCTTGTTATGCAATTATTTTTACTTAATAATCAAATCAATAGCAAGTAATACCATTAATAAATAGTATAAAAGTACAAAATACAAACCTTTGTATTGGACTCTGATTTATCAGACAATATTTTAACTGCAACAGAGAGCATATTCAAACTGTCTCCACCAACACCATCTGATGAAACTCTACTGAGACCGTCTTCTTCAGAGGAATAAATAGTAGGTTCCAACCAATGTGGGCGGGTTGAACTGGGCAGTCGTGCTTCTGTAGGAAGAATCACTCCATCCACTACACCTAGATCCACATTGAGGTGAAAGTATTCACAAAATGATTACTTGAAATTAATTTATGGACTTCCATAACTCAAAACAAAAATATATGTACTTCCACTGAATATAACATAATCCTGAGGCATGATGACAAAAAAACATCTTGGCATCAATAATCCAATCCTCTTTACCAATAGGGGAAACTCCTACAAGTCCAAAATGCTAGGAAAATTAAATTTAAATAAGGAAATCTCATAAACATTAAGAAAATACAAGTATCTTATGTCCATTCCCAAGGTTACTCAGGTCACTGCTCAAAAAGGGGTAAGTTCTATTAATACATCTGAAACCAAAAGAAAATTTTCCTTAAGAGAGAATAAAGAAGAAAAATTCCTGTCAACTGATGAAAAGATCCATAACTGTGATATATTCACAGAATGGAGTATTTTTTGGCAATGAAAATGAATGAAGTGATGTAACTTGGATGAACCGTGAAAATACCATGTCAAATGAAAGAAGTCAATCACAAAACACCAAATATTGTATGATTCCTTTATGTGAAACTTCCAGAATATGAAAATCCATAGGAAAAGAAAATACATTAGTGGCTCCTATGGCTATGGGAGAAGTCAAAGGTTATAACTAAAAGATATGAAGTTTCTTTATGGGTGATAAAAATGTTTTAAAATAGACTCTGGTGATGGTTTCACAGCTCGAAATGCTAAAAAACCATTGAAACGTACACTGTAAATGAGTAAACTGTATGGTATATGAATTATATCCCAATAAAGCTATCACAAAAAATAACGTAAAGCTGACTTCTAATTGACAGTAAACATTATTTTGACAATGGAATCGGAATGCCCTACAGAAAATAGTTTATAATATCAAAGTTCATTCTCAATAGATTTTATTAAACAGAAATTTAAGCATGTCTCAAGAGAAGTGAACAAAATATACATTTGTCCTACCTTTGTGATATAGACTGAAACTGCTAGAATGAAGGCATATGTAGTGCTTGTCATCAAAACCTTCATATTTTGTCACGCAAAATAATGAACCACTACTGAACTCTAACCAGAATTCACCATGTTTGTTTTCCAATATGTCTCCATTATCTTGCTAGTAAAAAGAATTTAAAAAAAATACAAACATCATTATTTAAATGCAGAAAAGAATGCTCCATTTTGATTCAGCTTAGAAAAATCTCCTACATCACAGCAATGTAGTCTAATTCTTGAATCATTCGACACAGTGGTACTAAAAACTAAATAACTTAAATGTTATGTGGTACCTCTTCTGCCAAATGAATCCCTGTACTTCACTCTCCTTCATCATAGATAAATTATCAGTTACCACCCTCAGGGGCAGAATTAGCACCTGTTTTCCCAAGGAAGAGCCATACAAAGTTTGACCTGCAATGAGAGCTAAATCCCCAAAGTTGCTGTCAGAACACTGGTCTTCATCAGTCACAGAAACAACCTCAAACTACTTCAATCACTAGATGTATATCATAGTAGATTTATCGCAAATAAAATACATTTGAAAAAACTATTTGGATTTGTAAACCTTACCTTCACATCTGTATACACTGCCATTAATCCATGATTAATACTCAGAAGAACTGAGAGAAAACTCTGTGCATTCTTATTCTGAGAATCTAGTTTTTTTTTCCTACGGGAACGATAGTTGGGATCAACAGTAGAAAAATACTGCATAGTTTCCTCCTCAGAGCCACTCTCCTCATCTATGAGAAACAAATGCAAAATTACATGGTTCTAACGGCTGATGTATAACCTGCTTATTTTTACTAAAAATATGTGACAAAAATATAATTTCTATCTTTTTTTTAGTTCTGAATCTCAAACAACATATACACTATAATTCTAAAGATAATATATTTATGTAATAATATTTTTAATATACAGATAGAAGTTGGGAGATATTCTTATAAATTAGAGAATTATAAACCATAGTTATAATGAAAAACATAGTCAAAGAAACATTTTTAAATCTACAACTGAAATGGTTACTACTTCATTAATTGCTAAATGAGGCATTTTAATATAGAATAAATTAAAAATATATTACCATAGTGAACTGTAGATTTAAATGGACTAAAACTATCTTTGTTGAAGGTATTAATCAGTTGACTGGCTACTGAAAGCCCAATACCATAGGAAATATTTTCTAACGTCTCCACTGGTGAAGGAGCTGTTGGCTCCCACAGTAGCAAGTCATTAAAGATCCTACAAAGACAAGAGTTGAAAAATAAGTACATAATTCCTAGTTCAACTGAAAGCAAACTAAAGTATTCTTTTAAGAGATTGCATAAACAATTAATTTTTTAAATGATGAAACGGAAATCAGTCCTGCAAGAGAGTTTTAGAAATGACAGTCAAAAAAACAATTGTGTTCTTCCAACAGAAAAATAACTGATATGGCTATACTGCAGGGTTGTGATAAAACAATCTACACAGATACTTGCCTAGTGTTACCTGTGTTATATGTACCAGTTATAAATTCATGTTGTACTTCTAAATGTATTTTAAAGACAGAAGCCAATTATAAATAAAAACCCATAAGAACAAAAAGAAGACGGTTTACATATGACAGCATTGATCTAACAATGTCAGAACTGATCAGGCATCGTTTCACTTGACTCTCCCATCAGTGCTGTGGGGTGTGCAGAGGAGAATCATTATTCTCACTTTACATTTGAAGAAACTGTCTCCTAAAGGGTAAGTGTCCTCCCCAGGGTTATGCCCAGTTCTGAATTCAGTTCTTTCTGTAGAGACACCTGCTTTTTTTTCTTGTCAACAGAAAACCCAGCTTCACTAGGAAGATGTCATGAGATGAAGAAAGCATGTGGAGTAGGGAATACGGAGGGGAAAACTATTCTGACCAGCTAGACTAACCCAATCAATGCTGGAGACCAGTGAGGGACAAACGTCACAGCTCGGTTATTGCTGCAACCTAATTTTTCAAAGAAATACTCTCACTACTCAGATGCTCTTCTGTCCTAGCTTCTTCCCTTCATCCACCCTCTAAGCACTCAAGAAAATACAAACTTTACAATGTCCTCTAAGAAGTCTTATGTCAGATTTGGACCCTCAGCAAGCACACATCCTTCACACCTACCTACTTAGATCACACAGCACACTCATTTCCCGTTTTTAGACAGATACCCCTGACAAAGAGATTTGTGTCTCATAATCTCTGTATGTGCCTAGCACAGTAGTGTCACATAACAGGCATTGACAGCCAATGAGCAGAACACAGGTGGATGACTCACATGAAGGAATGCCAAAGCACAGGCTCATCATAAGACCTAGTGTAAATGCCATTCCAGGTGCCACATGCTGAGGCAGCCCTGCCCATCCTGTGAGAATCTACTTCCCAGGCCAATTTCTGGCTTCTGAAGAAAGTATAAACAGTACTGAGGGTCCCAGTAGATCATAATCTGAATTTACAGTATAATTTACTGTGACTCTTAGTAGATCATAATCCCACCCAAAAAAGGTCTCTATGTTAAGGATACCACAGATAAAAGACAGAAAGATGCCACTTCTCAGACACACTGACAAATATGCCCCAAACTCTGTGATACAAAGGCAGTTTACTGTTGTCTTGGGCATATTATAGGACAAAGAAACAAAAGAATATAAATCTAGATCTTGGCCTAAACTCTATTTAAATAAGGTATGAAATGAAGAATTTCCTCAGGAAATGTTCTTCCTTTACTGTATTCCCTAAAAGCATTCTCCATTCTCCTCTTGTAAAAGGAAACTAAATAAAGTAAAACCATGTGAAACTTATATTTACAGATCATATACTGTTATGTCATGTGAAACTGTTACTAAGTTTTCCTTATTTATATTTTGGTCTAAACATAGTCTTGACACCATTAATACTATAAAACACTGCATGGTGTTTTTAATACTAAGAACGAAAAAAAGACTTAATATATTTAAGGACATATCACCATGATTCCATGTCAATGAGCCTGAAATACAATAGAATTCTTTTTTATATCCTATTTTGAAGGACTTTTGGACATAGAAAAAAAATTCTATATCTGAAACAGTCTTTCTAAAATAAGCCAGTTCACCAAAGCACTAATGGAATAAAATGAAGTAAAGGCAGAGTTAGTTATTAACTCCTGCTCAGAAAAAAAGACTTAAAAACAAAAGACAGGAAGAAAGTACTGAGACATCTAGTAAAACCTAAATGGGGTATAAGGGTTATATAGTAGTAGGTATTCATATTAGCTTCCTGATTCTGATGTTTGAATTATAGTTAGTTATATAGAATGTCCTTATCAGCTGGGCACAGTGGCTCCTGCCTATAATCCTAGCACTCTGGGAGGCCAAGGTAAGTGGATCCCTTGACTTCAGGAGGTTGAAACTAGCCTGAGCAAGAGTAAGACCCCTGTCTCAACTAAATATAATAGAAAAACTAGCGGAGCATGGTCAGGTGTCTGTAGTCCCAGCTACACAGGAGGCTAAGGCAAGAGGATCACCTGAGCCCAAGTTTGAGGGTACTGTGAGCCATGATGATGCCATGGTACTCTACCCAGGGCAACAGAGTGAGACTGTCTCAAAAAAAAAAAAAAAAAAAAGAATGTCCTTTTTGTGAGAAAGTCACACTAAGTACTTGATGTTGAAAGGGCTCAGGTCAGCAACTTACTCTCAAACAGTCTAGGATGAGAGAGAAAGTGTTTTTGTATTGTACTTGTAAATACTCTCTAACCCTGAGAATGTCTGAAAAGTTTTAATATATTCATTTGAAAATACAAAGCCAAGTAAGAGGCAAAAAATGCACACCCTGAAGAAGCTAGCCATGAGATTTATATGATCCACAAAGTGAGGGAGCACCCCACTATTTAGCGGTCTGAGGGACTGGGAAGTGGTTAGAATTAGAAAGAAACTCTCTTAAGCAACCTACATGTAACCAACTATCCAGATTAACAGATATTCTAATTCCCCAATTAAAGTAATCAATTGCCCACTCACTCTCGACTGGCATAACCATTGATGGCCCCCATGTGCTAATTACATACTGCAGGTAGACTGCTCCCTAGCACACCTAAGAACATCTGCTCCTATCAGTTGAGTTATATATTTTACATATATAACTTTTGCCATTTTACTAATGGTTTAATGTGTTCAGCACCAAATCTGTTTGTATTTGTTACTGTTAAGTATAGTTTAATTGAACACTGGGCTGATTAACTACAAGTAGCTAAGCTGAGGTGAAAAAGAATCTTAAAAACTTATAAGGTGGCTCGGTGCCTGTGGCTCAAGTGACTAAGGTGCCAGCCACATACACCTTAAGGTGGCGGGTTCGAATCCAGCCTGGGCCCGCCAAACAACAATGATGGCTGCAACCAAAAAACAGCCGGGCATTGCGGC